TGATGTATAACCTTGGAGTTTTCAGCTCAAAACCTTCAGCCCCACCCCCTTATTAAGTATGCATAAAGCATGTTTATCTGAATATCTCTGCAGTTGTTCAACCAAATTTAGCACTTTAATTTTTTATAACAAGCAATTGTGCATGTCTACCTATTGATGTCAAACAACAATCAGATTTAGACTGCTAACACACTTGAAAAAAATTCTTCATTATAATCCAACTTCTGTAGTGAGCCAATGTGTAAAAATTCTCTTTTCCTGGATCAAAATGATCTTCCCTATAGACAGCTTTGACATTTCTGTTGCTGCATAGCATTGATAGATGTGTAGAATGATTTGCCATCAGTTCATATGGACTTCAATTGTGTTTGCATTATAATACGCTGCTGTATATTGCTGTTCATTCGCTGCATTTGTAAGACAATTTATGAAAATTATTTTTATTAAAAAAGAACAATGTTTGTAATGTGATCTTGATGTCTTTTCACTCAAATATGAAGAGGTAAATACGACTTGATATTGCTTGAATCTAAGACTTAATGATGACATCAGTCCTAAGCTTGGCATAACAAGATATGGAGACACTAAAAAGATAGAGAAACAGAAAGGACAAAAAGAGGGAGTCAATTTAATGGTAATTCAAACTTATAACACAAGTAATGATTGTCAGTACTCATCGGTAATGGGTTTGAGACATAATGATATAACTAGTCAACTGCATTCATGTATACATGTACTTGTGCTGTATTCAATCAGTGAGTCAGTGACATAGACATGTGACAATTCAGTTCCATTACAATTAAAAAGTGTTCCATTCACTCAAATACATGTACATTACATACATGTATGTATCACATACCATTATTAATGCTTCAGCCCATCCAACAAGTACAGAAATTATATAAAATGTTCCATTGTTTGAGTTCATCTTGACACATCCTAATAAATACAAAATAGAATAATTGAATGTACATAAAACAAGGTCTCACTGCTTCTTGATTATGAAAATAAGTATAATTCACTGTATTAAGAGAGCGAGACAGAGATAGTAATTTAAGTATACGATGCTGATGCTACACTTACTTCTTCAAATTAGGCATTTCTTTTATCATTAATTGGCAAGTATTTGTCTTTCCATTCTCCTATACAATAAATGACACAATAAATTACTGACCAAAAGACATATCCTACTCTCTTTACATGTACATGTGTGTATATATATGTAATGTACTATAGTGTGCATTGTGTCTTACCACAACGTTTGTTAGCATGTGTTTCTGTTCCCACAATATTTGCCAGATATTTCAGCAAGTGCATTTGATGGGACCTCAACAGACAATGCAGTTATGCCTATAATAATATTGTAATAATAACAATGCTGATGTATACAGCTGCTCACTTGCGCTAACGCGAGAAAGAGTGAAGACATGTGAGACTGAGAGGTATACCTAGAGAAGAAAAAAGAAAGAGCAAGAGTTAGACATACAGTATACATATACATGAGGAGGAGAGAAAGGCAAAAGAGAGAAAGAGACATCAAGAGACAAAGATATACAAAATAGGTGTCAATTAAGGAACACAAAAATGAGGCAATGGATACATGTATTTTTAAAAAGGGAATAATTTTGTGTTATGAACCTATAGTAACATTACAACATGCATTATGCAGCTTTACTAAACATTATAATACCATGTAGCAAATAATACTTAGACTACATGATTAATGACTGTGGAACTTCAATGCATAAATCATGAGGAATCGTCTGAGACCATACATGTACAAGTAAACAATCACAATGACTACCATAGACAAGGCATTCTGGGCATAACTGTTATAATGGAGATTTCAATTGCAAGCAGTTACACTATTAGTGATTTAATTTATAAAACTTTCAACAAAGCATTATTTTCAGTTTAATTTATTTACCAAAAGTTTTGCTACTCAATAAACATTCTTGATAAGGCCTAAATGTTTTTCCATGCTTAAAATTCATCCTATACAGGTATAATATTATAGTATAGGTAGGTGAAGCAAGATTATAGATAAAACTAAATCAAATACAATTATGCTGTATCATCAGACCCATAACCCGATTATTATACAATGACAACACAGTATAGACCTGTATAACAATTTCCAGGCCCAGTGGTCCCAAAGTAGTTTTAAAATGAGGACAAGTAGTGTGGTACCAATAGTATCTTCAATGTTCAAAGTACACAAAATTTTACATGCATTATGTAGCCTGGA